GTCGAATCTTTGTACGTGAGGAACTTTTATATGGGAGACAATACCAAGCGAACCTAAGTAGGTAGATATCCAATTACTCCTGGAAAGTAATTCAATCAGTCTAATTAGAGGTTTTTATGAACTCTGTTTTACATTAATTTGGGATACTCGATTCACTTTAGTCGTATATAACAAGTCCTTAGCAACAAAGGCGTGGTTAAATAAGCCTAATTTAACTGGAATTTACCAGATAGGGGGAGTGGTAACCAAATTTTTTAAAAATCAAATTTTTTTTAAAGATGAACGTAATTTATCGATCTACCTCAAATTTTATTAGCATAATCGTATGAAGCCATGCACATAATTTAATTAAAATAATTAATTAATTAATGAACTACCTGGTGTGATTACTAGTCGAATTAGATGCATCACCACGTACCTACTATGATTCGATTTGTTATTACACTAACGTTCCAAATTGTTTTTAATGAGTCCGATTTCGTTTCGCGGGCAATGTAAAGTAAGCGTAGGACGTTTTTCATCACTTTTGATTATGAACAGTTTGAGATACTTGAAAGATCTTTGACTTGGGGTGTCTAATTTACCTAAGTGTAAGTGAGTAATCACTAAACCTACTAAATTGAAAAAATTTCAGGAAAACAACGAGTCACTAATTTGTAGAGCGTAATTAAATTAACACAATTTGGACCATCAAGTAAGCGGCTTGTAACTAAGTTATATAATCATTAAAATCGATTAGCATATACATTTCCATTTAGTACAGAAAAATCGATGAAAAAATCACTTACAAAAATTCCTCCGAAAAGCGCTCACTTAATCCTTTAAGTACCTATGCGTATCGCGACTTGGTCCTTTCGGCGGATCGAAATTAGTGGGTAAATTCGCGAACAAAATCGAAAGTCAACTGCTAGGTAAAGTATGGGATATCAGTTATCATTTCTAAACGAAACTACCTGCCAAAGGAGAGGGAGCAGAGTAACATCTAGGACAACTTCTTTCTTCGAACTGCTTGCAGTACACAAGTAATTACCTACAAGATGCACACGCAGAAGGAAGTTATTGCAAGTAGTAATTTTTCGACTTCTTCTTCCTTGCCGTGATAAAATTGTATGTATTAAGTTACTTAACGTTCAGCTAGAGTAAGTACACGATATGTATTGAGAAACAAACCACATATGCTAATTACGAAGAAATCTTCTGGCAAATATTTATAGTACTCACTTCCTAATCTAAGGGCCTTATGTAATTCCATTTTTTACATTAGACAAATATTTAAAGCTTCATTACAATCTGCACCCCTAATCTTTTTCCTACTACCAGTGCCTCTCACACAATATATTCGTCACCACTTTTATGCGTTTGCAAAGATTATTTTCACGCTTCTGAAGCTTTCAATGTAAAAAGTAAGTAATTACCTTCCTAATAGGTTCCGGTATCAGAGCAACAACCAAACAAGTATTAAAGTCTGCGCATCCATGCGAATGACGATAACACATTTTCTTTTCTTTATTTGTCATAAGCTTGGCATCTCCAGTTTCTCCTGACTTCACTCCAGAAATAGTCAACAACCTACAGACATTTCGATCTAGACACCCCCAATACATCCTCCGATGATTCTGGAAAATGTTGCCAAAGAAAATAAAGCTATTTGCATTGTCCAACAAATCGTTTATTTAGAAAAATAGAAAATGGAAATTATACAAAAAATATTAAAATCACGCATATAAAACACAAAATAACAACAAACTTTTATGGAGGGATGATTTCGTGATCGCCATTCAAAACAAGATGCCAAACGTAACCTACCCTGGTATCCTCCAGATGGCGCGCACAGCGTTTCCCCTTCTAAAAAGTCACGCGGAAGGGTGAGATGAAAAATCCCAAAGTAATATTTGTAGCTTTCTTTATTACTTGAATATAAACCGAAACAGAATCTATTCGAAACTAAAATATAACTAAATTGTTTAATTATGCCTCTACGGGACTTTTCCGACCTGCTAATCTTCAATGACTATCTAGAAAGAAAATAATATGAGCAACCTACTTTACTGGATATAAATATTCGAAGTATAGAAACTAAGCTAGCTGAACCTATCTGTTGTGTGATCACTAAATTTAAACCTACCTATGATGTAATGATCACAGCAAATCGTTGGGTTAGCATACTACATGGCATGAAGGAAACAAAGCACGCGTCAGCCACTAGGGTAATGTGTGAGAGGAACACATACCTACCACCCCGTCAGCGGTAGATAAAATGAAATAAACCATTGTCCATTCTAATGACATCATATGTCATTCTTATTAAAAATAGGACACAGAGCACGATATAAAATGAAGTTCAGAACAGAATTCAATGTTGTTTCCATGGAAATGACGTGAAAATTTAAGCTTGCGATAATGGACGTGTAAATTAAATACCTACAGAATTCTTAGATAAAGGGAAACTATCCATCTCGCAAAAGTTGTTTCACTCAATGGTTAAAATATCTCTCTATCATCTTGTATAATAAATAACAATGATGAGGTTGTTCCTTGCCTAATCAAGTTTACAATTAATAAAAGGGCACTTTCGTTTGCTGTATCGATTTCCGGTCTGTGCACTGCTGCTCTCTATGACAAGATATCTCAACTCTTGTTGCAGAAATCACACCGATATGAAGAAATATTTTCCAAACCACTGCAGGATGTCGCACAAGTTTATAATTATGAATTATTTTTGCTTTTTTAAAAAAAAAACGCCATCAGGTGCCACAACACCTTACGTACATAAAATTTTATTTACAAACTAAACTTACAAGTAAATAATCACAGACCTTTTTCACCTATGTATGGATTGAGAGTAAACCAGAAACACAGATTCCTTCATCTAACTTCTGTAATAAAAACCAACACCCCAAACGTAACGAATCCTTAGTAGCACATTTATATTTATTAAAAACCTCTCCCGTAAATAATTCGAACCTTAATTCTCCCGAAGCCCATTATTTACAGCACTCCGCTTTACTTATTTATAATTTTTTTTTGTCACAATTAATTATATTACTAAAATCCAAATTCGTCGCGTTCGCCCTTTGTCGCTTTAAATTATAAAATGTCACCGAGGATTGATTACGATGCATGCGATCGTGATGAGGAACTGCACCTGCTGTATGCACAGGGGTGACTTTCCGTTTGTGTCTCTTGATATGTGACTTCTGGCCGATTCGGCGATGCCTAAAAATGACGGGCATTAGTCGGTACGAAAGCGTAGAAATTGACTAATTGACACAGCTATCTATCAATTAGCACTAATTGACACATACATCTGTCAGTTGAATAGTAAGTTTTGTCAGATTAATGGTGGGTTTATGTATAACCACAATCATTATCATTAGATCATTAAGAAATACCCAATAGAAACAAAGGTATGGTTTCGTTGGTTGGCGACGCACAATAAACCTTTGTTCCTATTGGCTATTTCGTAATGATGTAATAATAGTGAACTAATGATAATGACTGTATAAACCCATGCTAATTAATAAAAAGTTTCGCTTTCATAAGTAAATATACTCACCTCCGACTCCGTTCACGTACTCGTGCGTTCCTGCGTGGCTGACTTTGATTTCTGAAATACACAAATCGTAGTTATTGTCAGTTAAAACCTCAACTTGCACTAACAAGCAAAGGGAAGAAGGAAAGGAAGTGGTTTTTTGGCTCGGTGGGTTGTTTTATTAACCTCTCATCATCTCTTAAAGCTTACGCGACTATAATGGTATTATAATTATTATCTGTGCATTCTTTCGCCGGTGAATCTTTTTTTGTGAACTTTATATGTAAGTACAGTGTCTTTTTTTGGTTTTGATTGAACGCTTTGAAAATAGTTCGGGGTTTTTTCAACGGGGAAATTCCAGGCCACGAAAACTGAGACATCCCCCTGACTAACACCACTACCTGAAACAGAGAGGGGGGGGATAAGGTGTCTCACCGGGGAGGGATAAGGTGCCCTGTTCTACTTTTGGTCAAACAAAAAGTGTGCGTGTTTCCAGTTTCCACATAGGTACAGTTTGTCAGATCGGGGAAAAAAGCACTTTCTCCCCCTGATTAAGAGATATCTTCCATCGCGTTTTGTTAGTAATATAAAATGTTGAACAAGTCCGGTAAAACAAAATCGCTACTCGAAATGGAATGATGGGATGGGAACGCAAATATTTATCAAATTCCGCAGCGCGCACGGAAAATGAATCTAATAACCCGAATGCGGTGGAATTAAATTGAAAGGGGCGTAAAAGTAGTGTGTTGATTTATAAAATGTTCGATTGATTTTTCACCAGTAGGCACCTACGTACAAAATCCCATTGGGAAAAACGCCATATGGTATGATTACGTGAAAAGCTGGGGAGGAGTTTTTTTTACTAATCTCTCTGTAAATTTAATATAATACGAAAAAGAAAGCTTTTCCAGCTTTGTCTTTTTGTTCGCGCAGTTTTTGCTCTCCGCGCTTGTTCGTCTGTTCGTACCGGGGTGAGTTTCAATTGAGTAAATACAAAGAGGTATACGTGTTCGAGGGGTTGGGATAGAATTACGGGCTTTACGTAAACACGGTGATTTTAATTGTTGCAGGAAATATAAGGCAGGTATGTATCAATCAATACCAAATACAGAGATTTTAATGGAAAACGATTACCATTCACAACGAATTAGACGTTCAAATATGGAATAGAAATTTCGCACAATATTGTTATTTTCCCCCCAAATAAATAAATAAACATCGCCGAAACGTTGTGAACCTCGGTTTAAGGGCAAAAAACAATTAAAACATCGAAAAACGAGAAACAAATTGAAGAAAGGCAAATTTTGGTACTTTGGGGGAGGTAGCCTATAATACGAAACTATTTGGAATTTGTTTTTGCCCTCCTTGTGAAGAACTATTTATTGTTTCAATTGAATGCAAGAGCGATATTTTGTGATGACCATGTCAACGCAATCCTTATTTGATAACTGTGGCAAGCTGGTCAAGTATGGGCGATTCTGCACAGATGGATGCAAGGGTCTTAAGGGATTGCGTTCTGGTCACGGTCGTAGAAGATGCTAAGTAGAGGTAGAGATCAGAAGTATTAGTGAGTTTGGTGTAATATGAGTGTCTTCCACGTGTAGGTGGTGAGTATATTGTGCAGGCCATCGTGCTTTGTTGTTGGGCTATTGTAAAACTCCACAGATATCCGGATATATTCCTATGGGCCTCGAGAGTACATACATAAACTGACGTTTACATTGGTCAAGTTGCTTGACCTAAGTTTACTTGATCAAGCAAGCTTGAATGAACTTGACCAGGGGCGGACTGGGTAACTGCGGGCCAGGTGGAATTGCATAGGTTACGGGCCATTAAAGTATTAGTGTAGTAATGAAGGTGCCGGGGGGGGGGGGGTAGCTCTGAGGTGCACCACAAAAACATTTTAAAGTACTCCTTTCTCGAAAATCAATTACCATACAGTTTTTTTTTTTAATTGCAGCTGATAATTAAAAGTAACAAAATATACAATCCACACGAGGTGCGTCGCCTATCATTGTATTTCAGCACTTTCAAAATACTACGACAAAAAATGATAAATTCATTGTAAAACACTTCAATTAAAACATAATTTTTTAACAACCTAACATCAACCCCAATTAGAGAAACGTGATAATAATTTATTAATAGTGCAAGAAACTAAATACAGCACATACTTATAAATTTTCAAGGGGCCATTATGATCTACAGGCTAGGTGGCAATCGCCACCCGCCCCCCGTGCCAGTCCGCCCCTGAACTTGATCCGTGTAAACGCTTCTTTAAATATTTCATTGTTTGTTGAAGTAGTACTTGACTCCTAGATTCAAATGGCAAATAAAAATTGAACATGTTTCAGATGAATTACGAATAAACGAAGTCTGGTAGTAAGAAACTTTTCGCATTGCTAATAGTCAATAATATATGTACCAAGATTTCAACCCCAAAGCCACACGAGAGTACCTAAAGCTAAATTAGAACTTGTTAACCTATACAAGCTCGCCTACATCAAATTTTCGGAAAGCTCGTTAATGGTGTATAAACGCGTTTTAATAAACTAATCTCCAAAGTGTGGGAGTAATTGACACAAAACGTCGAACAATAATTTAAAAAGGCTTAGTGCCATAAATCATCCACTTAGTCAGCACAATTAGGGGGAGTTCAATTAATTCGATTAGTTGGCGTTTTCAAAACGAACAACGTCAATAATAATAATAATAATAATCTTGCCGACTCTGTTCACAAACATCAGAAACAATCCAACATATAATATCGGCATGCACACGACTCGCACAAACTGAATACAAACATCGACATGATCAGGTAGCTAAAATCATACATCAAAAATTAGCACTTAAACACAATCTCATAACAGATAAGACACCATACTACAAATACACGCCACAGATCATACTCGAAAACAACACACACAAATTATATTGGGACAGGACACTACTCACGGACAAAACTATCCACAATAATAGACCAGACATTACACTTATAGATAAAACACAAAAATCCATTTGTATTATAGACATTGCCATACCCAACACTAACAACTTAACTAAAACACATGCAGAAAAACACCGCAAATACACCGATATAGCTATCGAGCTTAGGACGCAATGGAGAATGAAATCTACTGTTATAGTTCCCATTATTCTTAGTGCTACCGGAGTTATACCAAAGACAATACACCACAATTTACAACTATTAGGTTTGGATAAAAACACATACAAACATTTACAAAAAGCAGTCATTATCAACACATGCCATATTGTTCGTAAATTTCTAAACATAACACAAGATACTACATACACAAATGATCCACAACGTATACATGTAAACAACAGTACTCGCTCACAACGCGGTACACAACATACTGTAATATCTCAACCTCTAACCCAAACAAACACACAAATACAACTTACCGAGCAAACAAGTACAACAAATGATACAACATATACTACAATCAGAGATTCACCTCTGAAGCAAACCACATTATCACGACCCATTAGTATTCAACCCAAACGCAAAAGCCTAAACAGCACTTTAGACTCACAACATGACACACAACATACTGTAAAATCTCCACCCTTAACTCAACCAACCACACAAACACAACTTCCTGAACAAACAAACGCAATAAATACAAGTAACGCAACATGCCCTACAAAGACGCCCTCACTCAATAAAGTTACACGGCCTAGCACAGCTAAAAAACACAGTACTCTTTCTTCTCAGAAACACACCACGTTATCACAACCCACTCGTACTCAACCCAAACGCAACAACCTTAACAGCACTACAGGCTCACAAAATACTGTAACGTCTCCACAAATAACCCAAGCAACCACACAAATACAACCTCAAGAACAAAGAAACACAAGAAATACAAGTAACGCAACATGCACTACAAAGACAGGTCCACCAAATAAAGTTACACGCCCTAGCACAGTTAAAAAACATAAAACTCATTCTTCACAGAAACACACCACGTTATCACAACTCACTCGTATACAACCCAAACGCAAAAACCTAAACAGCACTACTAGCTCACAAAATACTGTAATATCTCCACGAATAACCCAAGCAACCACACAAATACAACCTCAAGAACAAAGAAACACAATAAATACAAGTATCGCAACATGCACTACAAAAAAAGGTCCACCCAATAAAATTACACGTCTTAGCACAGTTAAAAAACACAATACTCCTCTTTCTCAGAAACAACCCACTCGTATTCAACCGAAACGCAACAACCTTAAAAGCACTACAGGCTCACAACATACTGTAATGTCTCCACCAATAACCCAAGCAACAACACAGATACAACCTCAAGAACAAAGAAACACCATAAATACAAGTAACGCAACATGCACTACAAAGACAGGTCCACCCAATAAAGTTACACGCCCTAGCACAGTTAAAAAACACATAACTCCTTCTTCACAGAAACACACAACGTTATCACAACCCACTCGTACTCAACCCAAACGCAAAAACCTAAACAGCACTACTAGCTCACAAAATACAGTAATACCTCCACCAATAACCCAAGCAATAACACAAATGCAATCTCAAGAACAAAGAAACACCATAAATACAAGTAAGGCAACATGTACCACAAAGACAGGTCCACCCAATAAAGTTACACGTCCTAGCACAGTTAAAAAACACAAAACTCCATCCTCACCGAAGAACACCACGTTATCACAACCCACTCGTATTCAACCCAAACGCAAAGCCAAAGAAACACTTACACAATAAACTCCATTTAATAAAATTACAGGAATGTGTGATTTTTTTTTTTTTTTTTTTTTTTTTAGGGACCCTACATAACTTCACCAGACACAGACACAGACACTAATCGTTACTTGATTTTTAATCCGTGCGATTAGTTAACCAGGCTAGACCTGAGTTCTCACAAGAAACACCGACCATAATAATAATAATAATAATAATAACAGCGCCACAGGCTCACAAAATACTGCAATATCTCCACCAAAAACCCAAGCAACCACACAAATACAGCCTCAAGAACAAAGAAATACCATAAATACAAGTAACGCAACATGCACTATAAAGACAGGTCCACCCAATAAAGTTACACGTCCTAGCACAGTTAAAAAACACAAAACTCCTTCTTCACATAAACACACCACGTTATCACAACCTACTCGTATTCAACCGAAACGCGAAAACCTTAACAGAACTACACGCTCACAACATACTGTAATATCTCCACCAAAAACCCAAGCAACCACACAAATAAAACCTCAAGAACAAAGAAACACCATAAATACAAGTAACGCAACATGCACTACAAAGACAGGTCCACCCAATAAAGTTACACGTCCTAGCACAGTTAAAAAACACATAACTCCTTCTTCACAGAAACACACCACATTGTCACAACCCACTCGTATACAACCGAAGCGCAAAAACCTTAACAGCACCACAGGCTCACAAAATACTGCAATATCTCCACCAAAAACCCAAACAACCTCACAAATACGACCTCAGGAACAAAGAAACGCCATAAATACAATTAAAAAACACAAAACTCCTTCTTCACATAAACACACCACGTTATCACAACCCACTCGTATTCAACCCAAACGCAAAGCCAAAGAAACACTTACACAATAAACTCTATTTAATAAAATTACAGGAATTATTATAATGATATTTTTGTTTTTTTTTCTTCTTTCCTGATAGCGTTGACTATTGGGGCCATTAATAGCTATGTTGGTAAGTATGAATTACATACTATCTCTAGATTTCCAATGTGAGTGTGTGAATATTTATTTTTTTTTTTATTTTTCTTTAGAACCCTACATAACTTCACCAGACACAGACACAGACACTAATCGTTACTTGATTTTAATCCGTGCGATTAGTTAACCAGGCTAGACCTGAGTTCTCACAAGAAACACCGACCATAATAATAATACTCCTTCTTCTCAGAAACAACCCACTCGTATACAACCGAAGCGCAAAAACCTTAACAGCACCACAGGCTCACAAAATACTGCAATATCTCCACCAAAAACCCAAGCAACCTCACAAACACGACCTCAGGAACAAAGAAACACCATAAATACAATTAAAAAACACAAAACTCCTTCTTCACAGAAACACACCACGTTATCACAACCCACTCGTATTCAACCCAAACGCAAAGCTAAAGAAACACTTACACAATAAACTCCATTTAATAAAATTACAGGAATTATTATAATGATTTTTTTTTTGTTTTGTTTTCCTCTTTCCTGATAGCGTTGGCTATTGTGCCCATCAATAGGTATGTTGGTAAGTACGAATTACATTATCCCTAGATGTCCAATGTACGTGTGTGATTTTTATTTTTTTTTTTTTATTTTTTTATTTTTTTATTTTTTTTTTTAAGGACCCTACATAACTTCACCAGACACAGACACAGAC